AGAAAGATCTTGGAAGCGTTGCATGTGAGAGAGAGAAAGAAGAGAGAGATAGTGCATGAGAGAAACCTTGAGCTAAACAACCGAAATGAGTGCATTGCCACAACAGGCGAATTTCTGCCATTCATTCCTCTCTGTGGGCTTTGGGGACACCGCGCAACTCTTATCCAACGACCGTCAATGGTGTCTCATTGGTCCCTTGTTGTTCACCGAATCGAGTGGGACGGCTGCGTTGGTGGAACCGCAGAAGGTTTGTTTCTCGAATGGGATCTTTTGGTGTTCAAGTTTCTGGGAGCTGTTAAAACTGGACTAGCGCGTTTGGACGCTTGGTCGGGTAAGCCACAGATCAGGAGCTCCGAACTGCTTTCAGGTCTTTGAAGACGACGAGATGGTCGAAACGTCGGTTTCTACCTTGACAAACCTGTACGGCAAAACATTGCAAAACATTATGGAACATGCCCAGGTTTCAAGAAGACCGAACGTGGTATTCATCAGAATTCAGCAACATTTTTAAAAGAAATCAGCCTTAGTTGTTACTTAACAGTTAGTTCTCTTTGTCTGTTCTGTTACTCTTTGTTTTCCTTGCTACTCGACAGAATCCGTAGGGTAGCAAGGCAAACTGTTCTGTGGAAAATCACAACCCAGACGCATATGTTAATGCATTGTGTCTGCTCCACTCACTAGACGGGAAATAATATAGTTTTGGACATGTTCATCCTTATAATTCTCATGGCCTCAGTAAACCTAACTGTCTACACGAAATATATGTATAAACCTTGTATAAGCTCTCGTATATGTATAAGCTCTCGTGAGTCCTTTACAATTCAAGGGAACGTGTATCCGTTCTTTGAGACGCATAGGCAGGTCAGGACTAGGGTATCGTAACGGCGTAGCGTAAGGTGAACATTCGACGGCTTTCTAGGCCATCAGGCGATCAAGGCAACCAACCGAGGAAAGAGCCTGCTTCCTCCTCTCCGCGAAACGCCCTGCCACTTCAGTGCTTTGCTGAGCAAGAGGCGGAGACCAACGGGATGACATCATAAGCGTGGAGATCATGACACTCCTCAGACAAGAAGAAACACTCAGATAAAAGAATGTCATAAGCTGATCTTCTCGTGTAGGCTGAGAAGATGACAACCCCTTTCTGATTTTTTGAGTAAGGTTTGAGGTTTGATGGATTGTGGCAACATTAAACTGCAATATCTCAAAAATGCGTAAAACAAGGGAAATCTGGCACAATAACACGAATACGTGAATAAAACGCAATCTATGTCCTCCACGTTGCAAATCTTCTATGTGGTTCTCCTAGCGATCAAACCGAGCTCGTAGAGATCTGCAAATTTCGACCAAAATCTGCTCATAGGAGGGTTGCCTATAACCCTTACAAATGGTTCAGTGCCACGCAGTTGTTACGATAGGTTCCACAGATCGAGACCACCGACTCCAATTGACCGCACTCGTAATCACCACTATTTACTGGTGCAAGGCGCACAATCTCAAACTTTGGTGATTAAAACATATATACTTTTAAAGTATAATAAAATCAACCAATGATCGAAAGGAAACAATTTCCGACAAGTAATTACCGAAATTCCTAGAGGAAAAGGCTTCAAGTGAATAGAATAGGAGAACGAGGAATCTGGGGAGACTCAGGACCAAACCATACCTCCAAATTCAAGATAAATCTCAGGCGCATGAGGCACACTAGAGAAGGGGGAAAAGGGGAGCAGAAGCGGCACGAGTTGGTCGCAACTTCTATCGCTTGAAAGCGAGCTGAGGCATTCACAAGCGCAGCCGCAGGATTCTTTCTCGCTCTGCCGTATATATATATATGTCTACTGTTTATTCTCTTAAAGATATGTGTTGGTGATAAGCTGAGCTTTGGAAACGAGGAATGGGAACTGTAGAATAGCGTGGAAGTCGCGATACTCCAGGCCCAAAAGATAAAGAGAAGTGGCGCAAGAAAATCTGAGAACGCAGATGTATATCATTCAATCTGAGCACTCTGAGGTTACCTTCGCCAATTTCAAGGGCGAATTCCGAAAAGAGCCAATCTTGTTCAGGGATCCCCCAATCTGGCCATGCACCTTCTTCGGCCTTCGTACGCTCTGATTTTACGCGAACGAATTTGCTCGCAATAGTCCGGGTAGTCGCACAGTACACTGTGGCGGGCGTGATTACGACAATAGTAGCAGACTGCATATCATTTTTTACAAAGAGACCCTCCTGAAGAGATCAATTTGAGACACCATTTGCATCTGCCGGTTGTCTCAATCAAGTGTCTCCTAATTCCAGAGTTTATTACCGCAGTACAAGAATCTGAATGGTGTGATTCTATGGCTTGGCAAAAGGCGCAACTCATAAAGCGCTCATGGGCTTTATTAACGTACTCATAATTGTATCTCCGTATAGGGCAAATATATTCTTTATCCAGCTGGCGCAGAATTTCCACAGAGTTATGTAGCGCTTGCTGAGTGCTGCTAAACTTTTGCTCAATTCTAAGTACCATTTGCCCTCCTTGTTCGCCCTCAGAAAGGCAGTTATTGTTGTGTTCTTGACCAACCTCCCTCATGAATATGTCTTCGTCGGCCACCTCGTTTTTTGGATCCGCATTCTCTTCCTCATTGAATTCTTCAGTCTCTGCTTCAGCAACCTCTTTTCAGCGAGTTCATCGCCAAACGCTTCGACGAAATCTTCGCGTTGTTCTTCTTCTTCGCCGACTTCTTCTTTTGCGAATTCTGCTTCCCCGCTTCGACAGCTTCGTCGGCGACTTCTTCTTGCGCGAGTTCTTTACTTCGCTGTGAGATAATGCCATTCTTGTCGCGACTCCCTTGGATTTCGTCGTCGCCGTTTCTCTGACGTTGTGGATGGCCGTAGTTTAAGTAGATACTTTCGCTCATGCGTTCATTACGGAGTCTTTCGATTCCATAATGAGCTGCTCGAGGTGGGCGAGCTTGCTGCGTATGTCCCTTCTGAATGTAAGGACATCTTTGTGAGGTTTGGACTTCTGGACGCAAGAATCCCCAAAAGTCTTGTGATATTTTTTCAAAGCATTGAGTGTAGGAGGAATTGAAAAAAGAGGGTGCAATTGCGATCTACAGTAGAGAAGTTTTAGACGAAGGTGGTCAACTTCTAATCTCAAAATTTCAATTTCTAATAGAATGTGTTCTTGAAAGGATTTAAGAGAGACGCATAATTGATGAACTTTCTTTTCCAGAGCTGTAACTTGTGTGCGAGTATAATGATCGAAACACGATGATACAATTCTATCATACAGCTGTTGCGGTTCTGGTAACTTTGCAGTTGCTGAACTTCGCGCTGTCGGCGATGGAGTCCGTTTTCTATGTTCTCAATGGTTCCTTCGCTTTGTAAAACACACTAAAGTAATACAATTTCTTGGGGGAGGCGCACCTAAGTGCCTCTCTGGACATGTTCGTTCGAGTTTTTTTTCTGTCGCACTTACGTGGGTCTGTAGATCCTGGTGGTGAATCTAAAGAAATGAATTTGTCCTATATAATTGACCTATATAGCAACTGTTCTATCATCTGGACCCGTGCCACAGCCTGCTCGAAGCTGCTGGGTTTCTCAAAACGTAGAAGTAGTGTATGGCTCCGCCCCGCGTAAACAGGCTATGTACTCTTCCAACGCACATTCTTTCTGAGCCGCTGTGTCTTGCCCGGCGGTGGCTGCTCGTATCAAATTGAGAAGTGTGTTTGCGAATGCTGTGGTGGACTCAGAGGGTCTCTGCTGAAAGTAGAAAGTGCCTGGCGGGGTAAATGCCTTTGTTGGGACTTTCGAAAAACCCTTCAAGATGAGCCACTCTCGTGCGATAGCTCTTCCGCTGTTCCTCTGATAATTCTTCCACTTTTCCACGCGCTAACCCTTCGAGCTGTCCGAGCAAGAAGTTAGCCTTCTGTTCGAAGGTTATGGGTTCCGTACGCATACGCATCACATCCTCAAATCTACGTGACCAAAGCGAAAGCTGGGGCGACTCTCCATCGCCCGAAAAATAGGCTAGCTTGGGAAATTTCCCCTCGGGCATGCAGGAGAATACCATGTGTAGGTATGAATCCGATCGCCAGCTGCGGCAAAGAAATCATTAAATTGATTGAGAATGCTCAGATTGTTGCCCGAAGTTTGCCGGGCCGAGGAAGATATTGAGTAGCGGGCATCGCGCCGGGCTGGTAATAGCTGAAGTAGTCGCGTACCGCAATCCCATGGCGTCTCTCCTGAAACGGTGTCAAATCCCCGAGGCCCCTCAAGGTTGAACGCAGCTCCTCCGTGAATTTCGAGTGCGTAGAAGGGATATCGCTTGTCTCTTGTGCTGGCGACAATTTCTCAATAACTCGGGAGGCCCGTGTCTTAGAGCGCGTAGTGGGTCCGGTGGCACGAGACATAATCTGTCTTTGGATATTTCACTCGATCGAGGAGAAAACAAAAGGCAAAACAGGAGATAAGTAATGCGTACAGGCGACGTAGAAAATGTGAACTCTGTCGAAGTACCATAGTGGCAATGAATGCTGAATACGATCAATTGATGAATTCTTAACGGAAATCTGAAACGATAATTCTATAGCCGCCACGTAGCAGTTATTGGTGAGAGGGTTCCCCTCAGTCTTCCCCCGTGAAGGACAACTTCGCTAGTTTCAGGTATTTATCCGCATAAATAATACCACAGTTACAGGTAGATATCATAATAATAACAGTGAACATAACGCTGACGAGTGTAGAGCCGTAGCAGGACGAAGCAACCGTCCTTTGCCTCGGTCATATCCCCGAATACCGCTCCTCTATGCCCTTCTCTTGTCGCTGCCTGTAATCAGCAGAATAATAGCAGCCACGAAAGCTGCAGTGAATGAGTCACCATCGATCTGTCCCTGCTACTTAGGTTACTTATGACAATACAATGATGTGGAAGGCATGGCCAGCTGGGGCGCCGAGTTATGACGAGGATCTGCGAAGGCAAGCCTCATACAAAAGAGTTCAAAATAATCAAGTGAAGGGAAAATATTTCGCTGTATCTAGATGGGGTAATGGAACTTTTCCCCGATTGCGGCATTCTCCCTTGCGGCGTGCGGCAAATGTCACTGCAATTACCGTACTCACCCCGCCTCCCGCCAATCGATAGGACGCGATATTTTTCGTTGATTGGCTTGCTTTTTCATTGGATTTGATCGTTTTTTCTTCTGTTTCTTTTTCGTTTTCATGTTTATTAGACTTGATTAATTAAAATGACCCTTACTATATAAACGACGATCAAGACCGCATTGGAATCGGAAACAGCGGGCAGCCAATTCAAATAATTAAAGGACTCCCTACCTCACAAATTGCGCGCTACAATCTTCCATCGCGATCCTGCGATAGCCGGCGGGTCCGGCGTGTGCGACGCCGTGTTAGGGGAGAAGTTCCCGGACCCATCTAGATGCGAAATCTGACGAAGGGTGTTGTGCTCCCAGTTACTACCGCTGGATTACCATTGACTGTAGGAGAGACGGTGATCTCGAGAAAACGAGGAATGTGAGAGCAGACATCTTAACTCGACGATTGAAAATCGCCAGGTCGTCCAGAGGGATGATAAATATTCAAAGAGGAAATAGGCAGCGAACGCAAATAGGCTGAAGGTCCCTCGGCACCAAAAACGACCCGGCGCATATGGGCAGAAAGCGGTATGGAAAAAACTTGTAGTATGTGAAGGAATCAAAGATTCTCCATGCAGAAAAAGTACGTCGGTGAAGAATGCAAGAAACAAAATTTCATTATGACTACTGAAAAGAGGGAAAAGGAGAGATAAGAGGAAAAAAAGAATAGAAAAGCTTGAGATAACCGACCCGGAACGGAACTCCTCAATGGACCTTCGTCCATCCAATTCATCGTCGTTAGGAAGGAACCGTACACCTGCTTCATCGCTACGTTTTATAGACCGGTCTCTCCGTCTTTTTCTTTTTTCTTTGTTTTATATTACACCAATGCTATTTCCAGCTCAGCCAAAAGCCGATATATCGAAATTCCGCCCAAGAAGCTAGCCGCAGATCATTTCTGTCTGCATCATGCCTATCGGAACAACTACATTGAAGGGGCAATTCATCACGAAGATACGTAATACTCACCTATTTATGTGCACAAAACCAACAATGTCGGGACAACGGAACTCGAGACAGGAGCGAAAGCGACTGTAGGTCAGGTGCTGAAGATCACTACGTTGCCGTTGGGCCAGACCGTACGTAGCCTCTCAAGGTGTGCCAGCTGGAATGAAGGCTATTGTACCTGCCCAAATAGGGCTTCGGAATCGCTAGCGTTGAAAGAAGTAAAGGAAGAAAAAAAGAAGTACAGTGAAGAAAGAGAAAAAATGCACTCGCAGTGGAGGTGTGCTGGGCCATAACCCAGAGGTCGGTGGTTCGCAGCCATTCGCTACTACCAGAATGTGCAACGAGCGCGTGAAAGAAGATAGAAGATGAAGATGAAGAGATTTCTATGGTTTCAATCTACCAGAGTACTAGACCGACATGTGCAGGATAATATGAACGGTGAAACAGATCGTAGTGGTTGAAGACCTTTTCAGTCATTGTCGATCCGTGGAATCCCATCCTCTTCCCTCTCGTTGTTATTGCCATTCTACCGCAGCTTCTCGCGGTCGTCACTATCAGTCCTTGGATCTAAGAGAGAGAGTTGAGAAAGGTTAGGAGACGTGGTCACAGTAACCGAACCAACAATTTCTTTCTTTGGAGTGTATTTGACAAATGATATATTTGGTGAATATCATCGGTTGTGCAGTGACAGGATGTTGTGTTCCCGTGCATCATGTTCTGGGGGCATCACGTTGGTACTATTCTTAGTACTATTCTACTATTACACCCCCAAAAACTCAAAATTTTGATTTTAGATGAAACTTTGCCTATAAGGGTAATCCGATGCCGTGATAACCAATATAACCATCATTTTTGACGCTGGCGCCATTTGGCGCCAAATTGGCGCCAATTGGCGCCAAATGGAAATGAATGTTATACTGGTTATCAGGACCTCAAATAACCCCCAAAAGCAAGTTTTCAGCAAATTTGGTGAAAACACCCTTAGCGCCAAGTGGCGCCAGCGCCAAAAGTGAAGGTCATATTCGTTATCAGGGCATCGGATAACTCCTATAGGCGAAGTTTCATCGAAAATTAAAATTTTGAGTTTTTGGGGGTGTAATAGTAGAATAGTACCAACATGTTCATCATAATACAACCTCAATAAACCTAAATGTTTACACGAAGTGAAAGTAAACATATAGTATAACATATATAACAATACATAAATATATAATACAATTAAAACCTTTGACTGTCTTGACTTCTTCGACAGTCCAATGGAAAGTATATCCGTTCTTCGAGAGGGGAGCCTGCCTTGACGAGGTCTTACCCTGTCTTTACATAATCAGATCCGGACCAGGGTATCGTAACGGCAGATAAACACTCCCCGCCATTTGAGTGCCTCGTTAGCAGGAAGCGGAGAACAAGGGCATGACATCATGCACGAGGAGTTCATGACAGCAAACAGAGAATGTTAGAGGAAGCAGAAAAATTAGGAATAGAATGAAATTAGTGGTTGATTAGAAATTCCGAAGCGTAGCAAAGTAGACATTGAATGCTAGTTTTGCAGCGAAGTTTTTGGAGAAGATGTCTCGCAAAACCCTTCTGATTGTCTTGGGAACACTCGTTGTCGTCGTTGTTCTACTTGTTGCCGCCGTCGTAATCTTGATTATACTGGCGTCAAGAATATCGTCGTCGACAAGCAACCAATTGCACGAGGAAGACACGGCGGACCAATCAATATGGGCGAACTGCTCACGGATCTGTGGCAAACCCGAGTGAGTTATGCTGAGCTTCTGCATTGAGTTGTCGTGAACCACAACATGAGTTTCAGCTATGAAATCTCACATTATCCCCTTGTCATAATATCTCTGAATGGATTTGCCAGATCTCTGCTGATTCGTGATCTTCCATCACTGAGCAGAATTGCCAGATGTGGAGTAACTTCTGAGGTAGGGGAGCCAGGCATATCACCTTTTTCATAACCCTGCTTTAACGAACATTTTTTGTTGTAGTCCGTCTACCCTTGCTTCGGCGCTGAAAATAGCACAAACAGTATGGCGATCGTGACGGGCTTGTTTCCAGAGTCACAAGGTATGTTGTAGGTTGAGCGGTAATCGACATCTCAAGCGTAAACACAGGTCGGTGGGCATGAAAGCGAAGCCTATCTGGGCCTTCTATGGCTTCCTTCCCAAAAAACTCGCAGTATCAGCTAAAGTGTGTCGTTAGGATCACTGAAATCTTTCTCCTTAGGACAAAAAATCCTTCGCTTTTTGCTTACGACTGCTGCCTGCAATTGTTCGTTCCATGCGATTCGAACGATCTTATGTAGAATCACCTGAGTGTGTGTGAGCCGTGCTTGCAATTGCGGGATTGATAACTCATCTTTTTTGTTTCGCTAGCAAGTTCTAGGAGTACCTATAGTGTGTAGTGCTTGGAAATGAATAAGAAAATGAATTAGCCAGCAACGGCGCATTACCAGCACTTTCCGGCAAAACTATAACTCGTGTAAGAGCAGGCAAAAATTTCAAAACAAAATTTTAGGATCTTACCAATCAAGGAACGACTCGAGTGCCCTACTGATGGAACCGGTAATTACTCGAAAAACAAGTTTATTCCAATTTGCCGTAGTCTCTCTTGTTGAATTTACTTACAGATTTGGGTGGCTTACCAGAAACAAACCGGAGGCCGTGTGGCTGTTCATTCTTGGCCAGCAGCTCCTCATCTGGACTACGGTCGGTAAGAGAGAAAACAATCAGTAGAGACTACTGAATAACTGAGTGACTATGATAGGCATGATTTTTTAAGTCTTCGTTGTTGCATTTTTAAGTTCATTTTCCGATCCTGACTGAACAAAACCTGTTTCCTATGAATTCCTATCACATTAGCCACCAAAATATTACGAAAATCGGTTTAGTGGTGAGAGAAAATCTATCCTTTTTGGCCATGGTTATATGTTGACTCAAATGCACGCATCCTGATTTTAAATGGGGAATGTTTTTGCTAGTCAAGGGTATCCCAATAGAGGTGTTGGCTCCGGGGGATCCGATGCTATTAAATAAAAATAGAAAGCTCGGAACTACTCAGAATAGGCTAAAGTATAGAAACCCATGCAGTCGCCCCAGTTGACTTCGTTACTGTGGTAAATAACTCTTCCACCGTGACCACTGTAACGTGCGATTGGCAAACGATGACTTAGCATGTGTAGGTGTTGCTAATATGGTTCGGATTTTCCATCAGCTGCGCGAAAACTATGAAGAATGAAAATTGGTTTGGTCTTGGTAAATATCAGTTATATTAGAGCTTCGATTCTAATATTCATCTATTTTAGTGATCTGTTGAAGAAAAATTTAAATTTCCATTATAGGTCATCCCGACTACATTGTTCCCCCAAGCGATTATTCGCATCCACTTCAAGATCAACTGGATCAGGTTGAGTTGCTACCCTTGGTCTTTTGAACATGGACTCGCACAAAATGGACGTAAAAACAAAGAAAGTAAGCATCTTCTGCAATGTAGCTTCAAGAGGCGTGGAAAAATGTCTCATGCACCCCAATGGTACATGTCTTTCGCGGACAGTTAATGTGATTAGATAGAACTGTGAAAGGTGTAGGGCTTTCCTGCCCACGAAGTGCCGGTGGCCATACATCTTTGCCCCTTTGATTTGAAGATCGAAAAAGAGCTGTTTCACTTTTCTTGACATCTTGGTTTCGCAGTAGCTTTTCTTTCAGGGAGACGGAAGGTAAATTCATCTGATGAAAATCTTCAAAAAATGTTCCAAAACACAAGAAACAAATCTTTGGAGCAGAAACCTACTAAGAACTGATGTTGCTCACAGATCATCGTTCAAATGTCTCAGCAGCTGGTGTAATTTCGTCTTTTTCGATTAGATAAGACGGAATTTAAAGAGAGTGTGGATATTTGCCCCGGGAAAGCACTCTAACAAAGTGGAGGGGAACTATACCGTGGGAATGCTTAACGAAGTAACAAATGGTTAAGATGTTCTTTGAAATGCACTTAGAGATTTATGGAAACCTTACACTGAGGATCAAGTTATCGCGCACCTCAGCAAAAGTAACCTTAATTAGATGCAATAATTGAATACCACCACTCTAATCCTAGATCGTAATTAAGTGTGTAAAAAGTAAATAGTTGAAGAGGACAATGAGACAGTGCAGCATTTGTCAAAGAAATTGCACCGAACGAGTAAAATTTACATACCATATCTCGGATAAATAGTCGGTATTGTGGTTACTAGTTGTAAAATAGTCATCAAATACCATACGACGGAAGAGTTGGGCTTTTTCACTCCCTTTACAGGATTTTCAAAGATTCAGGGCTGGATACAGCGCCATGAGAAGATGTCACTAGAACTATATCATCACCGAAACATTCACGATTACTTACTCGATACGCACCCGTTCCTTCACTCTTCAACCTTTACATTTCTGCGCCATCCTCGGTTCGAGATCCTCACACCTCGAGAATCCTGCATATACGCAACCTTCCCTAATGTACCCACCCCCCGCGCCGCAGCACTTGGCTTTACCTTTCCTAAAGTATGTTCCTTTTCGATAGCACTCACACATTTGATAGATATACTTCACTCCAAGTCAACGCATCGAAACCTCTGTGTGTTGCTGTTCCTATTTCAACCAATGATATACACATAATTCTTGTTTAAAGACATGCTTCTTTTTCTAGACATTGGACTTTCTCACTGCTGCTATCATCATGCATCTTGTCGTGGCCTCCGCCCCACTTCTTGTAAGGGCGCGCGGGGGTCCCGCGCGAACAGCGTATCTGCGCCTGCGCGTCGACTATACTCGACGCGTGCTCTGGCCTAAAACCATCCCTTAGTGTGTCTGCATAGTCTGTCTGTCTGTCTGTGTCATATCCGGCCGCCACTGCCCGTCGTCCTGCCACCATTCCCGCGCGAGGATGGAGACATGATGCAAACGGGTTGAATGCATAGTGCACACGGGCATGAAGGCCCGAAGGCGCTGAGCGGTCCAAAGTCACCCCTCCCCGTGAGGCTTAACGTACTGGGTTCGAGCCTCCTGACACGTAAGTTTTTCTGGTCATCGTCGTAGTTTTTAATTGCTGAAGTATTGAATGCTTTGCTTTTATATATATAATATATATGTACATATATGTACATATTAGATGTATTTATCTTTATCATTTCTTTCTTTTGACGTATTCTTGTTCTTCCAACATCCCGCGTGGCAAGGGAGCGAGCGACGCGTAAGATCCCGAACAGGCATTCACGCCGACGGTGACGCCGCTCTTGAGCGCGGCGAACCCCAATGCCTACGTACATCTTCAGGAGCGGGGTGTCAGCGGAGGCTCGACACATCTTCAACTATTCGCTTTTCACTGGCTTTCGAAGGGTGCGGGCAGTACAGTGGGCACCGAATTAGGTAAGAAGCGTTTCCGTTAATAATAGGTCATCTCATTCAAAAGTTCGCAGACATCCAGAGGGATGGCGGGATTATGATGGAGGCTGTCGCCATCCACAGTGTTTTGATCAGAAGCGAGGACCATCAGCTACGACACTGCCCGATGTCGACATCATGGCTGCAGCAGAAGATATTGACAATTTGAAAAGAAGTATTACCGAACAGGATCAACGCGAAATTATCAAATGGGGCGCTATAAAAGGAGAATCCGAAGCTCACATGCATCGTGAGCACAATCAACAAATGGACGGGACGGAGTTCTTCAAGCGTAATGTGCAGAAATGGGTGAGAATGTTCAAAGAAGGAAGAACAGAGACCAGTGAAGGCCGAGGTGGTGCTCACAATGTTTACTCCGCGCACGAAGAATGAGTAGCTGAAATCAAGCGTCGAATGGCTGAGCGCAGAGGCTGCACTATTGCCGAACTTGCCCGCGAGACCGGCATTCCTGCTACTACCGTTGGCCGAGTTGTGTCCAAAGAATTGAAGATGGTCAAGAAGATGTGTGCATGGGTACCTCATTTACTTACAGAAGCACAGGTTTAAAACCGAATCTATACCTGTAGAAACAATCTTCCCCGCCACCGACGTCACCCACGACTCACGAAACCAAAGTTGGCTATAGATGAAGCATGGGTGGGATTTACACTGAGCCCGAAAGTCACAAGCGTCGGGTTTGGATGGACGCCGATGAGGAACCGCCCGAATTGGTTCATAAAGAGTCACGTGGTTCCAAGTGGATGCTCATCATGGCAATGGATTTCTGAGGCGTGGCGTTCTGGCGACTTTGTCCTGAAAAATTGACCGTCACTTTTGAAGTGTATTGCTAGTTTCTCGACGATAATACCGACAATTGGATGGCAGCCCACAACTTCAAGAGGGCAATTATCGCTCATGACAATGCCAAGCCCCACCCATCTCGAATTGCACAGCAGTTTTTTGAAGAAAAGAATATTGAAACCTAGATTCAACCGCCCTATTCTCCCGAGCTCCAGCCGTGCGACTTCAACCGGTTCGGTCAAATGAAGGTACGTCGCAGTGGCAAACGCTTTGACAACTGGTCGATCGCCGAAATGGACGTCAACAGCATTTTATCTGCACATGTTGAAGGAAAGAAGCTACTTGGTGTCCAGGTGCTATCTGGACGCTGGGAGAGGGTCGTCAACAATGATGGAGCCTACCCTACAGAACACTAGAATATTAGCTTTATATCTTGTTTGCTGTTCATTTTATTCGAACAAGAGCTTGCGAACTTTTGAATGAGATGACCTAATAGTTTGCCCACCCCTTTAAACATTGCTTGTCGGAAAAGTAAGGGCAAAACAAGTAGAGTGTTACAACTGTAATACTTGAAAACGCTCAATTCAGTAGCAAAATTGGGAGCTTAATACAAAACTGAGAAATAAAATAGTTAAAGCAGTGCACCGGCCTGTGCGGCGGCTACATATCGAGCTACCGCTGCGTTCACTATTTCACTGATTAATTAGTATTTACTTTTACTTATTTACTTTTGTCTAACTACTGCAGTCACTTCCGCGGTGTTCTGGATGGCAACAGTGCATATCGTTTTGATGAAATTACTGCCACAAGTACAGGTATACCCAGTACTTGTTTTCTGTCATCTTTTCTGGCCGTGCATCAATTAATTTCTATACGCATTTTCAACGATCTTCGTGGTCTACCGATATCTCGCTGAGCGCTCACACTATTTCTACTGCTTTCGGACGGTCTGAAGGAATTTTTTGGTGTCCTGTTTATTGTATTTTGGATTGCCTTGCTCTGCTCAGGATGGCAACTGAGCATTTGTGTTGAAGGATCCTTGCCACCTTACCAGGTATTTTGTTTTTTTTCCTGTGTGGTGCAGTTGACGATTTGATCTCTGAACCTCTCCTGCGTTTTGCTTGCTGTTTCGTGACACGGATATGACCATGACTTCGTCGGATAGTACAGCAGAAGGTTGTATCCTTGGTCAAGAAGAATCGTGCTGGAAGGAGCCTCAGGGCCAAGTTGAGAAGATAAACAAGTCGCGAAGTGTCTCTGATGCTGTCAAAAAGGTCATGAGTGCAATGATTAATGAGATTAGTTTGCTTGGGTCTGGAAATGTTGACTTGAAGAATGAAATTAAAGGATCCCGTAATCGATCTGAGGCCACTGTTGATCCTCGTCCCCATGATAGTTTGTCTTCGCATCAAGGTGTTATTGTAGCTAACTCTACCCATGATTCAGTGTTACCATTTCATGAGATTGGGAGACAACGTAGTATTGTAGTCAGTGGAGTTCCTTAGCCAGGAACTTCTAGTTTGAGAGATAGGTTTGCAGTGGATTTGCACCGTGTGTGTAGTGTTTTTGATTACCTAGGAATGGAATGTAAAATTTTCCGATTTTGAAGAGAGCGTCTCGCTTTCGCTATTCTTCTCAGTTAGTGGTATTTTTAAGGGAGTCTCTCACTAAAGGGGAGCGTGAGCGAAGGCGAGCGCTACGTCAAAGTAATAATGAAGAAGGGCACCGTTCTCCTACACTGGGAGTTTCTCACTCAGTGAGGATCACGTGAGGGCTCCTGGTATTTTCTCCCCTTCTTTTGCTCAGGAAAACTGAGTTCTCTTCCTCGGATTAGTTTGAAGAGGCCCAGGGCATTTTACTCTAATGTAAGATCAATCTCAAAAAACTCGGTTTACGTGGAATCAATGTTGTCGGAAAAGTATGATATCTATGCCTTTCGCGAGACGTGACTTAAACGAGTCAAGGTTCCTCCTATTTTTGGTGGTATAAGCTCAGACTACGATGTTCAGAGATGTGATCGGCCCAAGAAATCTGGCGGAGGAGCAATGATATTAGTTCACTCAAGGCTTTCAATGGCCCTTGTTTTCAAGGAGTCTGTGATGGTGCATTCGACGTACTTTGTGTTGATATTCTGAATGAGTGTTCAAGCCTACGGCTTATAGTAGTATATAAGACCATCATGCGTTGCAGCAAAACTAAGCAGATGTTCAAAATCCTCAG